GTTATTATTTAAAATGTTGCATGGAGAAGATTTGGATTGTTGTTTCTAGTTGAAGAAGAAGTCGTTCTTCTTCTTCTGTTTCTGGAGGGGCATGACCGCCAACTAGTGGAATGGAGTGTGAATGGCGGTGTGCAGCCAGATGGAGATGACGCGTTCTGCTCATGCGCTCTTGTCATCAGAGAACCGAGCCAGGGAAAAACTGATCAAAAATACCTGCAACAAGCGGGAGAATAACCACCCTTAAATCGTTCATTACTCTGCCACCTACAGGCTGTGCTGAAAGCTGCAGCTCCTCTTTTGAGGAAGTGTAGAAACTTTACGGTTCTGTTCTGTTCATTAGCTTTGGATCTGATGAAAGATTTTGTTTTATTTATTCCAGCTTGATAAAACAGCAAATTACAGGACTGACCTCAGGTGTTAGAACTGCTGACACCCGGAGCTCCAGGTGTGAATCTGTCTCCATCACTGAGAGTCTGCTCCAGATGTTACTTTCCAGCACGTCAGAGGAAACCACCTTTTGATCTTAACCTTTTCCTGATCAGATTTGTAGATTCATGGCTATTTTTTTCTCCCTCTTGCTTCCTGTTCAGGTTTGAAAGATTGGAGGTTTTGGCAGTTTTTGCCTCTACTGTCCTGGTCCAGCTGGGAGCTCTGTTCATCCTGAAGGAGAGGTAAAGACACGCAAAGACACACCGTACCATCATTAGCTAGTAAACCAGCTCTATTTGATAGGCGCTCCATGTTATCAACATTAGAGGTCGAATATTATTCATACAAATTCACAAGCTGCGACTGGGTCAGTGAATGCAGCATCGTTTGATACCAGAGCACAGGCTCAGTGCAACTTCCCAGAAGCTGCCCACGCTGCTTTCAGGTACCGCTGGGACACAAGGCCTTTCTGAGTATCAATGCAGATAGAAAGTCATTTAAAAAGGTTTGATTCTGAAATGTTTCATTTCAGAAAATAAAATAGAAATCCTTTATTATCCATTTGTCTGCAGCAAATGGCTTCAGGTCATTTTAAAACTCGAAGCGGTGGCGGCTGGTGGAGTTTTCTCCGGGGGGAGGGGCATAAATCCAATATAGATATATAGCGAAAACCAATCAAACTAAGTTATGGTATACTTATATGAATGCCAACAACAAAAAACATTCTAAAAACACTTTATAAAAACAAAAGATAATTAAATATGCAGGTTTTTCTTTTTGTACGTAAATCTTGCCCTTCTGAGGTTTTGTGAATGTTAATCTGTGTTTTTTCCAATATTGTGTCACAAACCTGAGAAAAAAAAAGTACCAGTTTAATAATGGAGAAGCTATTAGACAGCTTTATATATATATATATTTTTTTTTATATAAAAACTATTTATTTTGTGTTTATCTAAGAGCAGCTATGCAACTTGACAAACATCTATAAAAAGTCGACTATATTCTATTATTTTTCATGTGAATCCCAGATTTTTTATTCTTCTTTTCCTTTTCTAAAAACTGCTTTAAATGCGTCCTAGCGGTCTTTATCCATGCTGGATCAGATCCTGACGTTTGATAGCTGTAGTATCGTGGACCGCCACTAGGAGGCGAGCGTGATGTAAGTCATCCCGATCAAAAAATTCTCGCACGACCGGAGAATCAGCCTAGCCTGGTGAGACCATCCTGATCTCGCGAGCTTTCAAGGTTTCACTCGCAGATCAGTCTGGAGACTCTCCGTTAAAGAAAATTTGGAGCCGTTCACCAAACGAACGTCCAATCAGCGTTGGCTTTGAGGCGGGTTGAGGTGTGACGCAACGAGAAGCGCGACAGTTCAGTCTAAAGAACATGGCGGCTTCAGCCGATGAAACTAGCGTTAGCGTGGCTATCGAGCAAGTTTTATGGGAATTACAGAGTATTTCTTCACTGAAAGAAGAGCAAAACACTGCTCTGGAGGCTTTTCTCAGAGGAAAAGATGTTTTTGCTCTTCTCCCCACTGGTTTCGGCAAGAGTAGCCTGGCTTGTGGTTGTGTTTTCGTCGTCGCTCTGTTAGTACGTCATATGCTTCTTTGATCTGATTGGTTTATTTGGCCCGTCTATCACCAACATAGACCAATTACTTCCCAAAATTACTTCAACGGAAGGTTTCCAGATGGATATATGGATCAAATCCATCTGGTGGAGTCAGGTTAGAATCGGCCCAAAAGTGGTTTCTGAAAACCGTCCGAACCGTTCGGTTCGACTGTCTCGGTTCTGTTCGCGTGTGTTTCGTTCGGTTCATGCGCTGCTCCTTTTTCTCATAGGCGAAGCGTTTACACTCCAGAGCAGAAGGTGGCGGTACTGCGACCAAAGCCAACCACCAGTAGTAAACAAGAAGAAGAAGAAGCGAAGCAGCGTAGCCGGGTGTAGCAGAAAAAAATCAGTTGTTGTGGAGAATTGTGTGGGTATGGCGAGTGGGAAAGAACAGGAGTTGGAAGACGCGCCAGCAGCACTTTATAGGTCTGCTGTATGGGACCACTTTGCATTTAGAGTGACCTACGATGACGGCGGGAAGAAAGCTGTGGATAAAAGTGCAACAGTGTGCAAGCATTGTGCAACACGTTTTGTTTATGCTAACAGCAACATGACCAACATGTCAGGCTAACAATCAGTATATACCGAACTGAAAACCGTGAAATGAACTGAACCGTGGATTTTGTGAACTGTTCCTCCCCTACAATCTATATTTTCCTTGTTTTATTTCTATGGTTTTCCTTTGAACAGGAAGATTTTAGGAAGGATTTCCTGATCCAAGTCGTTCTGCCTTAAAGGTTAAAGGTTCCCATCAGGCTGAACATCCTGTTTCTCTCTCTGTCATGGGGGAGCAGTTCTTTAGCTCCTCCCTTTTATCCATAGAAACGATGCTTTCACTGTTTGGCTCCAGGTGTAAGCGGCTCAGGAAGCTGGTTCACAGCTGGGAGTGTGTTCAGGCTGTGAACTGGTGAACCTGGACGATTGAAGGGATGCCACTGCCTCGCTGTGTCTGTCACTGTGAGACTCTCACACCTCTGCTGGCATCAGGTCTGGGGTTGTCCTGAGGTCACCCCGCTGGAAACCATTTTCCCACAGCTCACCGAGGGATGATCTTCATCTGGCAGCTTTAACCTGCTTCTGGTCCAGCTTTAGATCAGCTGTCACCTACTCTCAGCCTGGCTGACATTATTCATCCAGTGGTGCTAAAGCAAAGCATTTGTTTTACAGTCCGGACTAATTATTCCCTAAAATAGATCCAGTGTTGAACTGGTATTTAGAGCTTTTCCTGCCAAACTGGTTCCAGTTCTTAACTGGTGCTAATTCTCAGTTCTGCCACGAAAATCCTCCGACTCTAGTTTTAAACACTGGTTCTGACTTTGTCACTAATTGTGACTGAATGACGATCAATCACAAGTTCTATCAAGTTTTATTTTGTAGAAAGAATATATTTAAGCTGATCTATTGTTTTTATTTTTGGAATTGTTTTTATTACTGGGGTTAACTTTAGACCTGCCTATTAATTTTTCCTGGAAGGGGCCGCCTGTGGAGCCCATTGACTGATGACTTTTTTTAAATCTCTGCTTCAATTCCATTTCAGTTCTGTTTATTTCTATAGTGATTCTGAATTTAAATTCTGAACAGAATTGAATTAATTTAGAAGATTAGGAATGCAGGACGGGGTCAGGAGAGATGATCTTTTTGGTTTTTGTTCAAATGTCTGCTGTGATGACAGGAGGTGGTAAATATTTAAGCTGTAAGATATTTTTGGTCATATTATAGTCCTTTTTTCTTTTAGTTTTCTTCCTAGAAATAAGCACCATAGTTTTCTAAGTCAGAAGTGCGTATATGAAACGCTACCTGTTGCCATCAGCTGCCTTCAGTAAATTTGGTTTTGAAACATCGAAGGCGGCGACACTAACTTCTGTCCAAAAAATATTTATTTTCTCATCAAATATCTTATTTTATCATTCTATATTTATCATTAAATACAAAGCTGCAGCTAGATCTGATATTTTCAACTAAATATATTAAAAAGTCTTTCTAACTCTGTTCTTAGACTCTCTTCATCTTTACGTATCACCAGATGCTGTTTGGGAAATCTCGTCTAATTTCTGTTTAGCTCTAATTTTACCGCTGATGGTGACTGAACTCAACTTGTTGATGAAAAGTTTTAAAAGTTAAGCTATTGGGGCAATAATTAGCTGCACCAAAGTCTGTTTCCTGTTTGATAAATCTCAATATCTGATGGTAGGGAATTATATCTGCATGTCTTCCTCCCGGTGTTATGCATGTTCTGATGATCAACATATGTTCAGCATGTTCATGTAGGCAAACATATTAAATACGGTTAATTGATCAGCTTTGCACATGCTTTTAAGATAGCATGTTTTTATACATTCAGATGTTTAGTCAAAAGAGGTCCAAATGTTTTTAGATCATTAAACAAATATTCTCAGACCTAGCTAAGCTAATAGAATGAAACGGGATTTTTCCAACGCTAAAACTGTGCAGCCGACCTTTTTTCATCAATAATCATGAACTGACTTTGATTCAAACATGTTTTTTTTAAAGCTTTGTTCTGGTTTTAAAGGAAAAGTCCAGTCAGCCAGGAGTGATCTATGGATCATTGCGATTTAATGAGTTTAGCGTCAATCAGTAAAGAAAAATAAAAAGAACACATTTTTATCGCGATCACTGAGTCTGGGAGCGGCCATCTTTGCCCAAATATAGTAACCCCTCCCTCCTGCCATCTTCCAGCNCTTTAATAATCAGACCGGAGGCTCCTCAGTTAAAACAGATCAACCTTTGTTTGGGTGGATGTGTTCACCTCTCCCCTGTGTGTGTGAGTTTGTGCTCCTTGTCTCCTCTGGTCAGTTTCACGTCTCCATCCCAGATCCGATCAGCCGGCTGTTGTTGATTCACCGTGTTTGTTTCTGTGTTGTTAGTGTGGAGCGCTTCGTGGAGCAGCCTGAGGTCCACACGTAAGTATTATCCCCGCACACACTCTGATTCCCACATGACCACGGAAAATAAACATGATATCCTCCTGCGTCCGTCTGAGGGAAACAGTCAGTCAGTCAGTCAGTCAGTGTGCCAGCTGTTGGGAACAGAACATCTCTAACTGGGTCACTCACAGTAATAACAGAATTAGACTTCCAGAGACGCAGCGATGGTTAATTTTTATCCCGACATTAGGAATATTCATCCGCTCCGTTCAGACCTACGGATGGAAAACGGATTCATTCACATCCTGGTTTGATTTAGTGGAATCTAAGCCTGTTTGTAGCTTATTAAAGCGTTCAGGTGTTTCCTCCAGTTTAGACGTTTTACAGGCTTATTAAAAACAATCAGAAAAAAATGCTAAACTGTAACTAATAAGAGGTTAAAACGTCTTTAAATAAGTATATTTTCCTTTCATTTGAGCTGTAACTAAGCTATATCTTGGTGGGATGACTATTTATCATCCCTTTAACAGCACTTTAAACTAAATAATAGGTGTATTTTTTTTAATCCTTTTTTAATTCATTTGCAAATTGTCTTACCTGCTTAAATGAAGGAAAAATGCACTTATTTCAAGAAAAAATTACCAACTTTTATAATTTTTTTGCAGTGCAGGGTCAGTTTCTGATTTTAAATTTTTCTAATTTCCTGGAAAGTTATTTTCCAACGTCTTTCCCTGTCATTCCCTGATCCGTCCTGGAAGCACGATCCGTACCATCAGCTCATTTGTTCAACCAGATATACATCTGAGTTTCCATAAATAATGTCATTATGGTGCTACAAGTTATTATTTCTGTCCTTAACTCACTAAAGAATGCTAATAAACATCTTTAAAAAAATGTTTTCCGACTTCTCTGAGACAATTTTGATGCCTTTTACGTTTTCTCCATTGAACTTGTTCTCTGATGTCATCATGGGACACGATCAGAGCAGTCCAGAAAAATCTGATTAAACCATGTTTATCTGCATTTTAGTGTTTCTTTCTTTAGATTACGCACTACACTCCTGATCAACATCTTAAGACCAGTCAAAAAATTGCAAGAATTTGCATTTTGCACTTTTGGATCTAAAGACGGTTCTAAGCAGAGCTTCAGAATGTTAAAAGACGAAATCAGCGTAAGAGACAAAAACTAATTGAAAACTGCATTTACACTCAAACATGATTTTTTTTCAGCTGATCAAAAGTTTAAGACCATAGCTAAAAAAAACTACGGTGGCCCTGAAGTACAAACTGCAACTACAAATCTAAAAACACAACTACATTAAGCAAAACAAAACTACATAAAGCAAAGCGCAACTACTTTGTGGCGTTGAAGACGTTTTTTTGTTTCTGAAGCCCTTCTCCGGCAGATTCCGTCTGGTGACCAGTAATGGCCTTAATTTGGGTAGAGGATCGTCCTGTGTCTTGACGGACAGCCAATCGGATCCTGCGGATCAGAGCTGGTGACCTTTTTTTACCTCTTGACTTTTTTGTTCCATAACCCTCAGGATCATTTAAAAAATGTAAAATTACTGTCTTACTGCGTCCAACGTCAGCAGCGATCGCACGTTGTGAGAGGCCTTGCTTATGCAGCTCAACAATCCTGCCACGTTCAAAGTCAGTCAGCTTTTTGGCTTTTCCCATCAGGACGTCTTGACAGGCTAAAGACTTGACAGAAAATGACATGGAATCTAGATTTTTGCACAGCTTTTGGCTTTTAAAGACTATGGTCTTAAACTTTTGATCAGCTGAAATAATGTTTGAGTGTAAATGCAGTTTTCAGAAAATTCCCTGCTCAAAAGTTCTTGTCTCTTGCACTGATTTCTTCCTTTAACATTGTGAAGCTCTACTTTCAAACTTCTTAAAATCCAATAGTGCAAAATGCAAATTCTTGCAATTTTTTGACTGGTCTTAAGATTTTGATCAGGAGTGTATATAGCATAATTTTAACACGAAAGGAAAACATTAAACCTAAAAAGACTAAATTTATGTTTAAATCCAAAGCTGAAAAAGTTAGCTCCTGGAAGTAGCGTAGCATCCCATTTCCTGTCCAGATCGGGAACAGACGTATAGTTAGGACGATTATCAAATGTGTGAGTTTATTACATCTTAATATTAGCTGCCTGTTGTTTGTCAAAACTGATGTTTCCCATAATAGTTAATCTAATTAAAACACGTCCTCTGTCTGGAATATATTGATAAGGCTGGAGCCATGGATGCCTCCTCATCTGCTAACGTGTATGATGCTAAAATATAATGATATGGCAGACTGTAGATGTATAAAATGCTCTAACTGTTAGTCGGGGCCACTTCCTGAGAAGTGAGGTGAGCAGCTGCCTTCTGTGACTCTCAGCAACTTCTCTGATCTGAGCAAGATTATAATTCCTATCAAATCTGTTTTCATGTCTCCTGATTATTTAAAACATATAAGTTATGAAGTGTTATTTAAAGAGTTTGTCCCGATTGATCTCTTTTCAGGAAAAAGAAAAACAGGATTTTAATGCATTTACTTTCTAAGGAAATACATTATTAACTTTTAATTTATTATAGTTTAGTACATAAAAATAAAGAACATAATTTAGGTCTTTTTTAGAAAGTAAAGTCGAAGGATATCTGGTGGCACAGACGAGCTGATGGTACGGATCGTGCTACCTGTCTTTCTTTTTGATCATGAAACTTCTTATAATTGGAGCTGAACCTCCGGATGCCCCGCCTCCTCATTTAGAAGATGTTAATGATTAAACACCTCTGTGGCTCATTGGCTATTTTTGCTGTTAATCACTTCCTGTTTCTTCAAAAATCCACATAAAAGTTTAAATTGAGATATCAGAATAATATTGCTTTAAAATAAATTAAAAGGTTAGAAACGTTTAGTTCTGTCTCTCAGAAAACTCCAGGCGACATTTCAAAGTAAAGCGAAGCGTAACGGACGGAGGGAGGAACACTGTCCCCAGAACAGCTCCACGCCTCCTGGACCAAACGTCCTGCAGATCAACAGGCCTTTGTTTTGCTAAAGCTGAGAGGTTCAGAAAGACAATGTAGTGAGCATCTTTCATTTCACGGATCTCTGCAGGAGGCACAGATTAACCCAAAATTGGAAAAACAAAGACTTTAGAAATAAAACATGTTAGTCAGGCCGGCTACCATTTCTCTGGGAGAAAACGGATTAATGGCAGCTTTGATCGCCTCCGACTCTAAAAAGATTTAGACCTGTTCAAGTGACGAGATTAACTATCTGAACATGATTGGCTTCTAAGGAGAGCAGCAGGTGTCCGATTGGCCGGAGCAGCGGCGCCGCGTTCCCGTACTGATTAATCTGATCCGGAAAGATGCCGCCGCTGGCCGCTGCTTGTTCCGCTCGGTTTTAGTCTCCAAATTGGATCATTGATGGATTTATTTAGTTTTTCTTCTACTTATGAATTGGTGGGGATGTTATCAGCTTATAGGACAGAAATCAATCAGTTTAGGTTTGATTTGGACAGTTTGTGCCTGTTTTTATACCCAGGAGGTTTAGAGTTGGATAGAACAGTACATTCAGTGGAGTCTGAAGGGATACAAAACATCTCTGATCTTTTAAATCCTTAAACCCTGGTTCTGTCTTTCTGTCGACCACAATGGGTTGAGACCAAAGATCTACCGTCTGACTCCGCTAACGGCGAGTAAATTTAAACTTTCAGGAGCCCAGAGGCAGGGGCGGGTTTAGGAAATATGGGGCCCTAGGCAAAGAAAGGCAGGGGGCCCTCTGAATGGAGAAGACATAGAACAGAGCCATTCTCCAGATGTAGAAATGTTAATAGAATAGACATCCATTATCTGTTCTAGGTTGTGTCCCTCTCTTCTTGTCCCTTTTCTTCTTGTTTTCCTCTCTATGTTTTGTACTCAGCTGACTTTTCATGCTGTCTCTAAAGGAATGAAAGATTTTTTCCAAGCACTAAGCTCACTTAGCTGATTGCTCCTTCCTGTGTTTCCAAAAAGGCGACGGCAAAAGTAAATTTATTTAGCCTTCAGCAGGCCCAGATCCAGTAATAACCTGAAGGTGAGGTTCAGTTAGGGCTGGGTAAAAAAAATCGATTTTGAATCGATTCTTTTACATTTTTGCAAAATCGATGTCTAGGGAATGAGATCGAGTTATTTTACAGTGACCCGCGTGACGTTCACATTCAAATAAGCAGGAAAGATGCTCTCAAGATGACTTCAAGCCAGACAGCTGCAAATATATCCAATAGTTTGAATGAAGACATTAACAAATGGAGGCTGACCAGAAAACACCCTGTAGTTACAGACAGTGCTGAATATATAGTTTGTTCAGTGGAGATAATGCAGCTCATGCATGTCTGCTGTGTCACGTCTGCTCGCTCGAGTGAGGCTTCACTTTTTCACTTTTCATAAACAAGTTTGCACTTTTGAGACAGTTTTGTTCACATCTCAAGTTTAAACTGTCTGATTTACAAGTTTGCACTTTGTGTTTAATGACAGGAAAAAATAAAATACATGAGTATTCGGAAACACAGTTGAACCACTTTCATTATTGTAAAAACAGATCGAATCGAAATTAATCTATTTAGAACCGTATTAATCAAAATGGAATCGATTCAGGACTTTGGTGAAAATACCCAGCCCTAGGTTCAATATCTATAAACCAGGGAGGTTTTGGGGTCTGAAGAGTAGAAGAAATGAAAGCTAACCAGCAGGTGGAATCTGAGTATACAGGACAGCGTTTTCCTGCCATTTAAAGATCATTAGTAAATGATCAATTCTGTATTAAATATGCAATTTAAGCTTAATTTGTGTCGCTGTGTTTATCCTCACAAAGATTTCTCCTCATGTAGCCTTTTCAGTGGAACTATCCAAGTTCTCCTAAATCTGATCCAGTACCAGGAATTTCTTCCAGTTTCTTCAAGAAGAAATGGCAAAAAAAAAAAAAGAAACTTTCCAGTTTCCGGAAAAAACCCTGAATGGTTCAGGTTTTAATGTAACCCAGGATCTCTGGGTTCGGCTAACCTGATGGTTTCTGGGCGCCTTGACCCTGAGGGGTCATAATGATGCGCCTGATTGGTCCCTAATGATGGGCTGTTCTTTCTGCAGAGGTCGGCTGTTGGTCGGGACGTTCGTGGCTCTGTTCTTCAACCTTCTGACTCTGCTGTCCATCAGGAACAAGCCGTTCGCCTACGTCTCAGAAGGTACGTCCCCCTCCTGCTCCTCCGCTCACCTCCTGCTCCTCCGCTCACCTCCTGCTCCTCCGCTCACCTCCTGCTCCTCCGCTCACCTCCTGCTCCTCCGCTCACCTCCTACTCCTCCGCT